AAATGCTTCCATGGACCGAGATCCAAAAAGCTTGTATGGTGAGGGCATCTACCAGATTCCAATTCCTTGCAGTAGCAAGCCAGGAACCATGGAATATGGGAAGGAGAGTTCTATACAACAGCATGCACACTTAACAACACATACAAAATATGTATGAATTATATACCGGGATAAATCCGTTCTCAGTATTTCAGTTTTGGTTCTCTTTTGTTCTTACCCTTAACACTTGTACTCTTTTCTCACTTTCTTCTCGTGTCCTTTAATTTGTCTTTCATGTTCACGACAGTTTGCTGTGATCCTATGCTCACTATACCTATTCAACAAAATCACTTCTTCTTGTTTTCATGGACAGAGGTAATATGAAAAGATTTATGAACCATGCCCACACTTTCTAACATAGCAGACAGTATGGCCATACTTAGAAAACTAGATGGACTGAGCAGCTTGAGAAGTCTATGTATGGAAGCTCTGTTTCCTTTACACTGTGTATAGCACAAAGGTAATATATATGCATATGTATATACACACACACACAGACACATCACGTAATATATTTTAGATACCATAACATTGGTAAATTCCTATGATTTTTGATAGCAGTGAGTAATAATTAATTAAGCCATTGCCATTGGCCAGACCATTTTAGTATCTGACAAAAACAAAAGAGCAGCCTCATAAGAAAGCACTTGTGAATATCCTTGAATATAGAGGAGCACAGAGCTCCATCTGGGGAATAGAGAGAGAAGTCCTAAGAAATTCAGACAGCAAGGGAATGAAGCTGGAGAAAAGGCTAGGAGAGACTACTTTAATATTTCAGGATGAAAAATGGTATTTACATTGAACTGTAAACTGAAATGTAAACTACCATGCTATGAAACTACAGGAAACGCATGTATGTTTAGAAGCAGTGCTCCATTTCAGGGGGGCTATATACAATAGTGTGGTCACTTACAGAACTGAAATAATTAAATATTAACACTTTGGGTCAATTCCAGAATGCTGCAGGGAAAAAACATGAAAATGCCAAAACATACAAATAAATTAATGCAGTTTTGTTATTGTACATATTTTAGTGATCTCCATTTTATCTTCAGTACTGACCAGAGATGACTACATCCTCTCATCTAAAGAAACTTTAAAAAACAAGGTTAGCTCAAAGCCTTATGCTATTAATCTCTTCTTCACCATTGCAACATGCACATTGTTGTACATGTACATTGAATTTAACATCTGCAGGTTATGGACTCTGCGGCTTATAATATCCTCTCTTTTTATAAAGCAGATGAGAAGCACTTTTTTCTTTGAGTAGACATGGATTATCATGTTAAAAACATCTACTTTTTTGGGAATAACTGCCTTGGGAGGCATCAATCACGTTTATGCTTTTCCCTTTTGATAGTATGTAAGAGAGAGCTGAGGTTGACATGTTTCTCAGATGGGATCCACACAAGGAGAGAAGGCTGGTGGCCTCCTTACTCTGATTGGGATACTCTGTAGCATACTTACTTGCCTTGCTTTGCTGCCATAGCATGGAAGCTGAGGAAAATGTGTCAGGCAGAAAGTGGAAGGGTACACTGTGTTTAATTGGTATGTGAACCATCTCTGTCTTTATACAGTAAACTAAGAGAAACTATACTTCTTTTGCACAGTTGCATTCATAGATGTGTCAGCGGATGGGAGAGGAAAAGAGAAGTATCTTTCAATCAGTGTTTGCTATACAACCTACATTTTTGCTCTGCAATAAAAATCAGAATCATTCCTACCTTCATATTGAGTGTGCTCTTCCTCTTCACCATTTACTTACCGGGTCTTTCGTGTTTAACTGACATGCTTCAGCAAATCTTTACAAGCATTGTAAGTCTCTAAAAATTTTAACATTATATACCAACACACAACCATTGCATGACCAGTGACTCAAAAAGAACGTGAAATCAACAACGAGAGTAAATTAATGAAGCACATTATTGATTTTTTCCACAAAAGAGATTTTCTCAGTTCAAACCCCAAGGCATGAAATTCAAGTTTGACACTGCCACAGCTGGATTACATTTTTCAGATGGTTGACTTGAAAATGGGGATCTGATCTAAGCAGTCAGACAGATATGTAACTCTGCAGTTAATTGAGCAAGTGTGAAGAGATGAGAGTGTATCTTATTCATTTATTTTAAAAAAACTACTATAAAGTAATGATTTTCAGAAATGCAGGGGTCCAAAATTTCCATGGAAATTTTCTGAACAAATATTTCAAATAACTGATCTAAAAAATCGAATTCTGAGGAAAAGAAACTTATGGGAAATATTTTTTCTTACAAGGATAAGTGAAAAAGTTTCACATACATTTTAAAATATTATTACATCTCAATCCCTTTACATACTTTCTTTAAGTATTTTCCCTTAAAATACTTTAAGTATTTCAAATAAATTCATTTTCCTTTAAAACTTATTCTGTAAGACAAAAGTGAATCCTATCTATTGGATCTTTGTAACTATGTATCGAGGCTCCTGGTCAGTAAAGGACATTGCCTTTTTTACCAGAGTACAAGAGTGAGGACAAGGGTTCTTTCCCGAGTATTGCCTTCTCTTCTGCAAATGGGGGTTGCTGTGCAGGCAATTTGACAGCAGAAAAGACAAAATTATGGGGACAAATACAAAGAAACAAGATGTAGCGTAAATGACAAATAGCTAGTATTTTTTCCCCATTTTTTGCAGAGAATGATGGAGATGGGAGGGAGAGAGAAAGGCTAAAGAGATGTTCTTTTCTGCCTCCAAAGTTTATACAAATATATTCCTAGTCATTATCAAGAATCATCTATTCTGAGCGGATAAATACCTGTGACTACTTAGGTCACCTTATGTGGCAGCAATCTCAGCAGCTTATCTCAGCATGCTTAAAACCAATAGTCTCCTGGAGGAACATTATCTCTGAGCAAATTCATTACTAACTTGAATCAAAAAAACATACATAGATTTGGCTACAGCGCAAACTGCTTTGAAAAAAAATCTGACTGAAAACATTTCCTCCATGAAGTTAACGACAAATTATATGAGAGACATTTCCTGTTCTCTCAGATGCATCAGCAGTTTGCTTTGCATATAAACTCAATTACATGCCCTGGAAAGTTCTCCCCACAACAGCACGAAAGAATGGCTTGATTATTAGAAGAAAGAAATCTACTAATCTACTAATAAATACATGAGAAACACCCACATGCAGAGACCATATGAGCGAGGGGAAAGGAGCACACCGTGGTTTCACAAAGCACACGGAAGCAGGACGTGAGAGCGACCGGGGAAGCCTTTTTACTGGTAAGAAAAGTGGATTCTCACCGTTCTGAACAAAATGGCTGAACTAAGAGCATCTGACTCGTTATGCCCAAATACCCTCCTCCTCATCCTAGCGGTGCAGAGACGGCAAGGGGAGGAAAGCCCCAGAGCAGCATGGGAACAAAATAGAGACTTGGTTAGTATTTAAAGCACATAATGTAAATACAAATAGTAGTAATAAGCGTTCCTTTAATTCCTTAAGTAATATTCGGAACTACCTGGAGGTACAGCTTCCTTGGCTCGCTTGCAAGCTTTGTTAGATTTGAAATGTTCCTACATATAGGGAAGGCGCAATTAGACCCCTCCTCTCCTCCCTCAACCACCGCCCCGTGAGGTTCCTGCAATAACTTCCTTAAGTATTTAACTTTTTATCTTTTCATTTTATCTGTGAATGCTACCTGTGCTCATTTTCAAACATGTACTACAGTTATGTTATGACTTAATTTCACTACAGATTTGCAGTGTATAAACCATAGATACTCTAAAATTTCCTCCAAATTAAGATTAGGAAATCAATTTAATCTCCAATATTAACAATTCCACTCTCCAGAAGAAGGAGGTTGGTATGCTGGTATGACCAACATTTTCTAAAAACATTCCAGAAAATTCCTGTCATTCAATTTACAGATTTTTATTTATAATCTAGGAGGGTATTAAATTAGCAAGATGTGAAAGAAAGGTGATTTGAAAAAGAGAAATTTTCTAATCATTCCTCTTTTTATATCCCATATTGTTTTCTGATATAGACATGAAAAGAGATTGTTAAATACCTATTTTTGGAAGGTGAATATGTACTTGTTTGTTTGTCATTCTCCTCTCATACCTTACTCTTAACCTCTGTATTTCACAGGGCTGGTGCTTAAAGGTCTAGAGTGAGATGCCTTCCTTCAGACCTCAACAATTTCTAGATCAGCCAGAGGACGAAGGGGAGTGCCAAACACTCCTTCGCTTTGTCAAGACAGTGATTAATGATTGCTCATATTTTAATTAAACTGGAATAGATGAGATTACAACATGGGATATGCAATTACGTTGGCATTTTCTGTGCTACCCAAGGGATAGGTAATCTCTCTGATAGTTATCAAATACGCGGCTGTGCTTTGTAAATGACACATGAGGCTCTGCACTGCCTTGGAGATGGTAAATTGATTTTCCTTCAGTTCATGGCCCATTGAGTTTGAGAGGGAGCAGTCTGCGCTCATTTGGCACAGAGGCCAGGACTCCCTCCTGGGAAATGAAGGGAAGTGCTCACATGCAATCCATAGATCAGAAAGCTGATCCTGAGCATGATTTCCTGCTACTCAAGACAAGAAACAGCCCTGGACACTCCACATACTCAAGCAGTAAACTTGAGTTTCTAAAATCCAAATATGCTAGAGAAGACTCCAACCCTGCGTTTTAAGACAATTACATTTCTTTCTCCCTTTTCATTGTCTGCTGCTTCTTCTCCACCCACTTAATAACAGCTTGGTACTGGGAACGGTTTGTTCACATTTCAGGAGTTTTCAAGGAAGCCGACACAACAGCAACTTCAATTTCTGTTTTATAACTCTACTGTGGAATGTTATTTTTGTTCCAAGGTACTGCAAGCATGTCAGGGAAAATTACATATGACTCAAAATAATCAGACCCTGTAGTAAAAATCAGTTTAAAAGAGAAAAAGAGAGACATATTACCTGGTCTGGGGAGGGCTTGTGGTTGGTTTGGTTGGAATGGGATGAGGATTTGAGGTGATCATCCTCATAGTTGTCAGCCATCAGCTTCATGCGGTTTTGAGTCTATTCAAGAAAAAGAAGAACCTCATTCTACCTTCTAATATAACCACAGGGACTAAGGGAATAGGATATTTATGTCATCCTGTATACCCAAAATCCACATAGATGGAAAAAATAGATAAGTGAATAAAATGTTAGTACATATTACTACAGAGAAATAGCAAAAATGGCTAGACATGTACAAACCACTCCACTCTGAGGCTAAGTTAGTTTTGCAATTAACCGGCTCGTCTGAATTGTACCTACTAAGCCTTGTGCTGTACGTGTGTGTACAGAGAAACTCATTTCTTGTTAAAGAACGTTAGGATTAAGGTTCAAACAGCAGTCTGGAAAACAATTCATTGAAGACATCTATTAAATGTGCAGAAGTTAGCTGAAAATAAAACAAATGATGAAGTTAGATTTACCATAAGAGTAAAAAATCTGATAATAAAAATGCCGAATATGGACTAATTATATAAGAAAAGTCCATTCAGTATAAACATGCAAATCTGTTTTCAATGCATATAGCAGGGAGTAGGAAAAAATCCTGAAACCAGTAAGAAAAATCTGAATAATTGAAAAGCCTTCATGTGAGGAGATTAAAAAGAGAATAATACAGTGATGTAATTGAGATGTATAAAATTACAAACTGCATAAAGTCAAGCTGACAATTATCAAAATATGAAGCAAGTTTCTTTACTTGTTCTTTTCTTCAACTTCTAAGGAAACTGCAAAATTCCAAGGATATATAATTTTTTAAAAATACAGAATATAAAATACACGCGGAACCCTTGACTACCAGATACGTTCAAGGCAAATTTTTAGTAAGTTTAAAATACAAATACAAATTCAAGGGAACCTTCTGGTTATACAGGGACAACTGACTGATTACATGTTGCTCTTCTTCTCCTTGTTCAAAATAAACTGTTTAAAAAGATAGGTATGAATAAACGGAATAGCACGTTAAAATTACAATTTGAGGAAAGCAACTGCAGTAAGCATTACATTATACCACATAATTGTGACTGCGAAGGAAAGTTACTGACATAAAGCCCTGTTACAATATACTACCCTGAAATGAGGTCCCCAAGTGCCTAGAAACACACGCACACGGAGAGGAAACAAGTGCACCTGGGCCAAATGTTACCCCTGCGCAGCAGGGCTGACAAGGCCCAATCAGACAGCAGTAACAGTATGATGATGATGATGATGAGGAGGATGATGACAATAATAATAATAGGAATAGCAGCAGCGTAGATGGGGCTACGGAAGAGAGCTGGGCCCAAGATCAGGCAGAGTGAATGTTTGTCCCTGCGCACGTGTTAGCTGCTTCACTGGAGCATATCTGGGTGCCACTGTCATTGGGCACTCACACCTGGAGCAGACCCACAAGGGAAAGGAGGCATTTCTCCTCCCACCTCATAAGGTAGACAAAGCCCCCTCTTGAGCTTTGTGAAACCCTTCTATTATTAAAAATAAAAGCATAGACAGACTTGCATTAGATATGATACATAGTAAATTATGTATAGCTAGACATATTAAATCATCAAAGATTCACTACAATTAAATGTCTTAATAAAAGTTCAAAACCTTCTATAAAAAGGCCAGTTATTGATTCATTCCCTTCATAACCTAACGGCTTCTCACTAAAAACTATAAATTTTAATGAGTGTCTCGAGGCTAGAGAATGTAGATTCTATTTGACTGTATTCAGGTCATTATAGAAAAAGTCCGGGGTCTGAGTCTGGATTTGATTTTATTTTGGATTAATTAAAAAAAAAGTTAATACTAAATTGTGGTTGAGGAAAGCAACGTTACCATACAAAACCGTTATATTGTTTGCTGAGTTTTGTCTGACAAGTTTTGAATTACAAGTCTGAGTCTTACCATTCATAAGTCACTCATTGAAATATGCTATATTAATACTTGGACAACCAGTTTATTCTCAAGATGCCTTCTCAATGTGGTTTCTTTAATAACTTCTTCTCTGCAATGACAGCTACAGATTTTAAATTATTTTACATTTCTTCAGAAATTTTTGTTCTTCATAACAAACAACTTGCTGCATGACTTTCAAAGCGTGTGCGAAAGAATCTATTAAAAAGTAGATAAAACATCAGGCTAGCAGAACATTAGTATAGCACATCATTAACTTTTCTATGATAAAACTTTGTAAAGTTCTTCCCAGAGAAAGGTAACATACTTTATGATATTGCATGTTAAAAACCTGTCTTAGCACCATTACAGGAATAGAAGAATATACAGACCTAAACATTTGGAGCACAGCATCTCTCACAGAACCTTTTAAAGTGGAAATGAAGAGGTTGCATTCTTCAGTTACTTAATTTCAAGTAGATTATCCTACTATTGATACTTAGTAGCAGGTATGAGGCTGAGAGAACTGGGCTGGTTTAGCCTGAAGAAGAGAAGGCTTCTTTAATTATGTGATAGGAGGGAACAGAGAGTATGGAGCCAAACTCTTCTTGGAGGTGCACAGTGACAGGACAAGAGGCAACGGGCATAAGCTGGAATACAGAGAGTTCTAATTAGTTATCAGGAAAAACCTCACAGTGAGGATGATCACCACCAGCTGCCCAGAGGTTACAGGTAGCCCAGAGAGGTTACAGCATCTCCATCCCTGCGATACTCAAAACTCAATGGATACGGCTCGGAGCAATCTGATGGAGTTGGACATACTAGAGCAGAGGTTTGGACTAGATGACCAGCAGACGTCCATTCCAACCGCAATTATTCTGTAATTCTAATTAGTTGGGCTTTTAATTTTCAGTTTCAAAAGAAAAGGAAACTAAGTTCCAAAATTCCGCTTGGTTGCAGAGATATGATTTAGCTCTATGGCAGCCTGTTGGAAAACCTAATCCAAATGGATCCCTGCAACATCCCAGTGATGATAAACACACAGGACCAGTTCACCTAGAAAGTCATTTTCTGTGTTCCCCTTTAATCCAACCTGCCCTTCCCGCTGCTTCTGCTGGCAACCTACGAGTGCAAGTTAGCGATGTACAAGTCCTGGTAAGAAAACATCACGTTCAGTATTGTATTTTCACAACAGGAACTACTACTTAACACACGCATCTTTGGAATTAGGCAAAAATCAAGAGGGGAAAGAAAAGAAGTTTACCTACTGATAGATACCACTAAAAATTATTTTCCAACATTAAAGTTCCAAGCACTGCTGCAGAATGAAGGATATTTTTTCTAATCCTCTTCCTGTCAAACACGGACTTGAATGCTAATTGAGCAACTCCTAGTTGGGAATTTTCAAAGCCACTGGAAATATATGAACTGAGTTTCCCTCCTACTGCTCCCCTCCTAAAGAAATTTCACAAGGAGGGAAATTTCTAGAATCCTGGAGGGCTGTTGGAATGATTTAAAAACAAACAGTTTACTTTACTGTGGGGAACCACTCCAACATCCTGCAGTCCTAAACTGCTTTGTCATTGTGCTATTATACAATCTGCTCCCACCTTATGAGGTTATGGCTGAGATCCTAGGGCAAACATTTCTACATCGCTGTAAAAAAGATGAACAACAAAGTGGTTTAACCACTGTGTTCCGTGCGAAAATAAACGAGCAAGGCAGACAAATCGGCTGCGTGAGGAGCGCCTTTTTCTGAAACCTACAGAGATAAGAGCTCAATGTCAGGTCCACTATGACCGTACCTTTTTTATGCATGTAAAGATAAAATGCCAGATTGAAAAAAAAGGGACAAAGACCCATAACTCAATAGGTTTCTTGAATTTCCCAGAGCTTTTTTTTTTTTGACCGAACAGACATCCTAAACTTATTTCTTGCCTTCCAATCACTAAAATGCCAGAAAACAGTAAGATATATCTTTATGCAAGAAGTTAAATAAAGCCGCCTATCTCCACGTTATAAATAGAGATGGTCCAGGTATAGCACTGGCATTCACTTGGGAGCATCTCAAAGCCTTTGAAACTTTAGTCTCCCAATAATCACTACACAGACGAACAGACCTCAAACCTTTTAGATTAGTTTCAACCCTCAAAATTGCTGAAGAACCATCGCACACCCTTTTCATGCCTCTAACTACAAGCCCAGAATGACTGTGGATAACTTGCCACAAGACATCTGCAGAGCAGAGCCTGTGAACCACACATCTAAAGCATAACATCTGAATGGGGATGGTATCTAAAAAAAAGTTTCCTCCACTTACACGATTGTGCCAGTATAGTGCAATAGATCTTGCCTCCCTCTCTCTCTCTCTCATTCTCTCTCTCTCTTTTTTTTTTTAAACAAAACTTCTGCAACCTTGCTTTTGCCTCTCTGCACATTTCCCTAATTCCCTTCCTGCTTCTCATCATTACTTAGCCCTGGCCTCTGTTCTGTCCCTTGCTACAGGAGGTGGCTATTTTGAAAGAAAATGCACCAGCAGAAAACATGAGATAAACTTGTTTTAATCATAAATGTGAATGCTCAGCATCACCACTTTTTTTAAACATGCTCCCTTCTCTTTTGCTGTTTTGTACACCTGCAGAGATCTCTCATTTACTGTAACTATACTTTCCCCACACTTTTTCTGGTTATCGTATAGTTTACTTCCGCATGTATTTTGTATTCTTTAGATGTTTGGGTAAACAAGGAAATTCCCATGGAGCTGACGATTTCAAATGCAGCCAACACCTGAAAATTTTCATTCCAAATAGCACTTGAACAATATTTTAGCTGCCCAGACTGCAGCCATGGTGAATTTTGTTTGAGAATCACTAAGATCCTAATTCATGGATGTACTGCTTCCAAGTGTAGTATCACCTGGAGGTGCCTGCTAGCCAGTTGTCTTATGTTAATTGCAGTTTACACTGGTAGCTTGTTTGTGAAACTACACTCTAAAGACCAAATTCTACAGATTTTATCAAAGTTGAATTATTATAGGAGAAAAAATTGGAACTGCAGCTAATCCACAGAGTGTAGAGATAAAATAAGAGACACATGGTGGAACACAACTGGTAAAATAGTCTATAGGTGTCTTGCTCAGGATTAAC